GATTATTAATTATTTCATTATTTCATTTATTTATTTATTTATTTATTTACATATTAACAGCCTACTGTGATATTTTTTCCAGGAAAAGCTGCGTTTGAAAAATGTCTTAGGAACACACTCCATGATGCAGGCACCATCGGCGGGTACGAGCCTATAACGCGAGCTTTTAGGTTGCAAGTACACTTTCAGCAACTTTCCGCTAAACGTGTCTCAGCCGTGTATACATACATGTTGCGCAACATATGTGAAAGGGTACCTACCCTGTGGGGAAAATCTCTAGTTCTGAACTGGTGCGCTTCTAGTACATTTAGACCCAGTACTGGTTCGCGATAAATCTCTTTTGCATGCAAGCAACTGGCGAATTTAACATGGCGATGTCCTAGGAAGTGTCAATTGCCCCCCGCTGCATCCCTTTTTCGATAGTTCCGAACTAGTCCTAAATTCTATAGTTCCGAAGCAGTTCTAAAATCGACAGACGAAAGAAAAAAGCATCATGATTTTACAATCTTTTTGGTTCTTCCGTGTGTGCGCTTTTAAGTTATTTTGGAAGAAATGTGTTTTCAATTTGAAATTAAATTTGTTTGAATGATTGTAAGAAATGTACGTTTACATACCTTTAGCTGTAGCTGAGTTTGCAGAGGTGCTCGCTGTTATTTGTTAGATGCCAGACTGTCCCATGATGTTAAAATGTTAACACAAATTTTAGTTTTGTATTACCAAGCTATGAAAAAGCATCTGCGAAGCACAGAATAGAAGCGTATTTGAACGAAAAAGCCGCCGAATACATATCTATGTAAAGTAAACAAGCCCCCCGCTGCATCCCTTATTCGATGGTTCCGAACTGGTTCTAAATTCGACAAATAAGATCTAGTTCGCTCTGCATCCCTTTTTCTATAGTTCCGAACTATTTCTAAATTCGTCACTTTAGATATAGATTTGTAGTGAAAAAAACTGAAAGAAATTAGTTTTTTAAAATTACCACTTTTCGCAGATTTTGGACTGGTAGGGATTTAGTTCCTATCGGACTAGTTCCTTTTTGGCGATAAAGACCTAGTACGGAACTAGAAATTTGATTCACTAGTCCGTGGTTTCCCTACAGGGTACATGTGTGTGTGAGTGTGGATGTGTGCGAGCGTATCCCTGTGCGTGAAAGCGTGCGCGTGTATGCGTGTAACTTTTGAGTGAAGGTAGTAAGCAATTTCGCTACGATCGACGTATCGGGGCACGATCGCCAAATAACTGAAGTGAAAAATCAAAGCAAAAGTTGGCTTCTAGAAGAGTAACCGTGTAGTGAAAAATCCGCGGAAGTATTCCTTTTAACAAAAATAAAACAGCAGACAAGTGTGTATTTTTTTTTTTTTTTGCCGTTTAACCGGAATCGCCTACGGTTTGGAAAAAAAGGACCGTTTTAAGTCCTGCTACTAGGTAAGTAGAATAAAAATTAATAAAAATCAATTTAAGTTTAATTCGTTTTGAAAATTTTCGTTCAAATCAAAATAAAGTTAATAAAAGAAATGTGAACTAAAAGCTGTGCGTGCTACAAGGAAAAAAATGCATGAAATCGACATGGAAATAAGTTAAACTCAGTACATAATAGAACCCAGTTTAATCTGACTAAATCCACTTGAATTTATGAAATAAAATTAAATAAATTGCAATAAAAGTTAGTAGATTAAAATAAAGTAGAACAAAGTAAAATAAAGTAAATTAAAGTAAAATGATGATAAAATAAAAATAAAATATTCCAAATAAAGATAAAATAATACAATAAGAGTGATAATAAAATCAAATTGAATAAAATTAAAGCTATTGTAAATTAATTGAAAAGGAGTTGGACTGCAGTTAAAGTCAGAGTTACATATCCACATATATATATACATAAGTGTGTGTATGCACAAACGGCCAATCACACTATTATTATTATTATTATTATGAGCCTTGAGCACTGCGACCTCTAAGGTGGTCTATTGTGCGTGGCCTTTTACCCTATATATGAAGGCTTTTAATATAAGCTAGCACTTCGGTGGGCTTTTTGTTCCATATTTCGAATGGATTAAGTGTTGTACCGCCTAGGTGAGCGAGTCTGCGTCTAGCGAGAGCAACACATTCACAAAGGATGTGTTCTGGCGTTTCTTCGTCCATCTCACAGAAGCGACAGACGCTCGTGTCTGAAAGATTCATTTTACTGAGGTGATAACGCAGGGAACAATGTCCCGTGTAGTACCCAGTGAGAGTTCGAAGGTCCTCCCTGCCTAGATTTATGAGCTTTTTTGAAGCTTCTCGTGATGGACAGATGAACCGCTTAGCTTGTCTTTGCCCCGGACATTCATTCCAGTGCCTTTCGAATTTTTTGTCGACCCACTTGTTTATGACCTCCCTTAAGTGGGCTGTGGTGAGCCCGCAGAAGGGTTCCGGGCCATAGAATAGTGTGGTAGCTCCGTGTTTTGCTAGGCGGTCCGCCTGTTCATTGCCGTCATGGCCCTCGTGCCCCGGCACCCAGCCCAGTAATACTGTGTTCTTGCTTCCAAGACCGTTTAGGGTGTTGAGGCAGTCGTACACTAGTTTGGATGTTATTATGTGGGACCTCAGTGCTAGCAAGGCAGCCTGACTGTCCGACATAATGCAGATGTTTTTAGAGGATGTGCCTCTTCTGAGGCATTCTCTGCCGCAGATATCGATCGCATGAATCTCTGCTTGAAAAATGGTGGGGTAGCTGCCCATTGGTATCGATCTTTTAAAATTCGGCCCCAATATACCAGCTCCAGTTTTTCCATCTTCAAGTTTTGATCCGTCAGTGTACCAAACTTCAGCTCCGGGTTTGGTGTAGGGGTTTCCTGTGCTCCAGGATGCTCGGTCCGCAATAGATACCTTGAAACTCCTAGAAATTACTAGTATCGGAGCTACTGAGTCCCTCATATGCATTATGGGGTCATTTGTGAATTTCATAAGGACCTTCATATGACCTGTCATGTTTCCGGTTTTTAACTCGGAAGTGTTTAGGATTCTCAGTGCCGAGAGACTGGCCTCCCTCTCTATTAGAATTGGGAAGGGCGGTATGCCTACAAGAGCACTAAGTGCATCAGCAGGACAGGTCCGCATAGCCCCTGTTATACCAATGCACACCTTTCGGTGTAGTTTGCTTAGTTTTGCCTAGCAGTTCTTTGTGTCGCTTTTGTCCACCATGCCAAGGATGCATAGGTGACTATCGGCTTCACAACTGTGTTGAATGACCAGTAAGTCATTTTGGGGGAGAGTCCCCATGTCTTCCCGTAAAGTCGCTTGCATGCGAAGAAGGCTCTCATTGCCTTGTTTACGGTTGCATCCAAATGTACATTCCAGGTGAGTGTCTTATCTAGCCACACCCCCAGGTATTTTGCTTCATTTGAGAGCCCTATTCTAGTGCCGCCCAGAGTCAATTCTGTCATGGATAACTTTTTCCTCCGGGTAAACGGAACCAGAATAGATTTAGTAGGATTAATGGATAATCCTTTGGTGTCACACCATCTTTGCGTAATGCGCAGGGCTTGTTGCATGCGGTTGGAGATCGTTTCGTCATGCAGCCCTGTTACACAAATTACCAGATCGTCTGCATATCCTTGTGTTTCAAAGCCATGGTCGTTCAGTAGGAACAGGAGTTCGTCTATAACCATAGTCCACAGAAGAGGAGAGAGTACACCCCCTTGAGGGCAACCTCTTGTGGCTGTAATCGATTCTTTCGTGCCTCCCAGCTCCATCCTGATCTTCCTTGTTTTTAGCATAGAAAGCACCCAATTTATTATGATGGGGCTCACTCCCTTGCATATCAGGGCATCTCTTATTGCCCTGTATGACGTGTTGTCAAAAGCCCCTGAAATGTCAATGAAGGCACAAAGGGCTATGTTCTTAGACTCCAGAGCCTTTTCGATTTTCGATGTAAGGCTGTGAATGGCAGTCTCAGTGGACTTGCCTGGTTGATAGGCAAATTGGTTCTTATTCAGTGGTCGTTCCGCTAGGTTGACTTCTCTGATATGTTGATCCAAGATTTTCTCCATGCCTTTTAGGAGAAAGGAGCTGAGGCTAATTGGTCTGTAGGATGAAGGCATTTGCTCCGGTTTACCTGCCTTCGGTAAAAATACCACCTTAGCCTCAGTCCATCTACTGGGAATGTGACCCAGTAGGAGCGACGCTCTGTATAGTCTGGAGAGGACTGGGGCTATGTAGTTACTACCTTGTTGGAGTTGACAAGGATAGACCCCATCTGGTCCTGGTGATTTGTATGGGCTGAAGGTAGATATCGCCCATTGCACTCTTTCTACCGTGGTAAGTTTAGTTGCAAGGCTTTGCTCTCTACCAGAAGTGCGTGCTGGGACACCCAATTCCGGTAGATAATAGCCCGCTTTGCAGCCCGGGAAGTGAGTGTCTAGCAGAAGTCTGCAAGTCTCTCCCGGATGCTGAGTATAACTACCATCTGGTTTCTTTAGAGTGCCGATCGTATTTTTGTGTTCCCTATTTAGAGCTTTTTGGAGGCGTACTGCCTCTGGGAGGCTCTTTATTTCCTCGCAGTGGTTTCGCCAGCTAGCTCTTTTGGATTTCCGCAATTCTTTGTTGTAAGAAGTTAGTGCAAGTTTGTACGGATTCCAATCACCCGTATTCTTTGCTCTATTGAATAGTTTTCTGGCTTGGCATCTCATTTGCTCAAGCTTCTTGCTCCACCAAGGCACATCACGTTTGGATTTTACCTTTCCTTGGGGACAGCTACTATTGAAAGCTATTCCAATGTCTGAATGAAGCTGTTCAGCTTCAGTTTCAAGCTCGTGCGCAGTCGTAATTTGACCACCATGGCTGTTTCCACCTTCTTCCATGATAAAGCGAAAGAATTCCCAGTTCGTTTTTCTGGGATTTCTAAAAACTAGTTCCTGCTCAGGAAAGTGGCCAATGTCGAATTCTATGTGCATATGGTCCGACATTGATACCTCCCCTGAGACGCGCCAGTTTGTGACAGAAGCTACCATGTTCTGACTACTTAGAGTAAGATCTAAGACTTCCCCTCTAATAGCGTTCCTGAACGTTGGTTCATTGCCATGGTTTATAATACTTATATTATAACTACTTATAAACTCAAGGAGGTACTCACCCCTTTTGTTGGTGTCGGTGCTCCCCCAGACAGTGCTATGGGCATTTGCATCACAGCAGAGGATCCAGGGTATACCACTCTGCCGGCAGTGATCCGTAAGCGCCTTTACCTCTGGTGTCGGGGCTATCTCCTCCTCACCCGGGAAGTACGCGGAGGCAAGTACTGCCTCTTGCACCCCCCTAGGAGTAGGAATTTTGGCCCATACCGCAACGAGATCTGCCGTAATGAACTGTGAAAGAGGGAGAAACGTTATTTTGTTACATAATAGCATCGCCGCTCTTGGGCGACAGCTGGTGGCATAGATGATCTTACCGTCCTTTGTATTAAGGCCTTTGACGTCACCTCTTAATATCCAGGGTTCCTGGATGAAGGCTACACCTAAGCCTTCGTTTGTGAACCTCCTATGTAAAACATCTGATGCTGCTTTCGCGTGGTGAAGGTTCACTTGGAGGCATTTAATGTGCCTCAGATTTGTAGAGTTTTTGGGGTGAGGTGCCATTACTTGCGGTCTTTTCGGCCGCGAGCAGCCACCTTCTTCCCCCTGTTGCCCTTCAGCAAGACCGCTTCTTCGGCCGTCCTTGCATCTCCCTTGCCTTTGCGGCTGGACATAGCCGCTTTGGAGCTGCCACGTAGTGGTGGCCGTTTTGCAGGCTTTGGGGATGCGATGGGTCCAACGCCTTTTTGGGCTTCTTCCAGCACCTGTTGTAGGGTCGGGCATGTTGTTGTTGCTGTTTTCGGAGGCGTTGTTGGAGCTTTGTATGCTACGTGTAGCTCTGTGCCAACCTCCGATGACTTCTGCTGCACTTGCGTGTCATTGGGTAGCTGCCTGGGAGCTACGATGACGTCTTTGGAGCAGCAAGGTTGCTCCTCCGAGTTAGGGTATTCGGTGTCGGCGGCATCTTTGTCTACCACGGGCATCGACGGTTTGACTTTCTCCCTAAGTTTTACTACGCCAAAGCCATAGTTTACCACGTTCCCGCGGTGCTTTAGCGTGTCCGCTGATAGCGGGTCAACTGCAATGGTGATTTCCGCCATTGTTGACCTGCGTACTCGATTCAGAATGCGCCAGTCCGGAATTCTCAGGCCGTCATTCTGTGCCTGAAGAAGACTGAGCGCATCCTCACTGGCAGAGCTGTCCAGCTCTGGGAAGAGTCCCACAAGAATGATGCGGCGAGGTGTTTCTGCCTCCTCGACCACTTTCATCTTCGCCCCCTTCCATGGTGCCAGCTTTGGAACAGTGTTCCGTATCCACCCCGCGGTCGCAGCATCTCTGCAACTGATGGATAGCCATCCCGAGTGGAAGGTGCAACCCTTGAATATAGGCTTTACAGCGCTAACTGTGTTGCTCCTGACCGCCCTGAGGATGGCATTTTGGATAGCTTTGAGCTCATCCGTTGACCACACTGTGGTTGGATAGTCCTCTGGGACTAAGCCCAGCTTCACTCCGCATAGTGCATCCCTAAATGAAACCGGCTCTCCGCGACAATCTGCAGGTGCATGCGGCACAGTTGCCTCCCCGGTGGGCACAGATGCAGTCCCACCTGGCCTGCCCCCTGCAGATCCCTCACTGGATTTGGCGAATTTCTTCGGGGATCGCCTCTGCGGGGTAGAGCTATCAGACCTAGGTCTTTTTTGGAGAGTTTTCTTTTCCCTCCGTGGTGGGCCAACGGGTTCTTTGGCTTTTTCTCTAGCCTGCTCATAGCTCATTCCCCTTTCTATGTACCGCTTGAGGCGTTTCCGACCGGCTCCGCTAAGCGGCTCCCGCTCTCGAGCTTGATGAGGTGGGTTGTTCACCGGAGAGGCAAGCAACTTCTGCTCATCCTCCGGCGAGATATCAGATAGCGTTCTGACGGGACTTGCATCCTGTCTCACGCTAGTATCCACCATCTCTACGTCGTACGAGGGACTATGCGCCCCCGGTAGTTCCGTAGCGATGGTTTCTGTTTCGACAGAAGTCGAAAGGCCAGCATTGGCCATTGTTTGGAGCTGTGCAGCTCCTTCTGGCTTTTGATTTAAATTTTTACTGTTCATGTGTGTCCCACGAGTATGGGGGAAGGGATGTCAGCTGGGACATAGCCCCCAATATCCCGAGCAAGACTTCTTACAACCAGAGGGCGCCAGGTATCTGGAGGCCACCGTTATAAGACACACTTACGTAGTGCCATTCATCCCATAAGCACGGTACGGATGACACTCGGAATTACGGGTTTTATCGAGTTGTCCTCTCTAGATCCGCCATATTCAGTAAAAGCAGGGGCACCTCTCGCAGGGTGTGACTCGTCGCCACGTATGGTCGGTCTTGAGCCATCCGCTCCTGACTCAGAACATTACAACACGTATGAAGCAATATCAAGAGCCTTGACCCCCCACTAAAAATAAAAAAAAAATAAAAAACGTTCATATACACACGTACGTATATAGGTGCATATGTACATGTATACATACATACATGTAAATATATGCATCCAACATACATACATATGTGTATATTATAGAAAATTATCAAATTGAACTACTTTGAAGGCAACAAAACTAAAGGTGAATTTTTATTTTTTTTTAGAGCTGTGGCAGGACTACGTAAGGGGCCAAAACCTCCAAATTGGGACTTAAGCCTTTTCGCAGACAGAAATCCAACACTTCAGTAGCCACAGGTGGAACTTGGAGAACGGCTAAAAATCCCATGAATTACACCAAAGGGCGATGACCGTAGCCAGATGGAAAGCGAACATAGATTTGGATTGTTAGAACAGCATCCACTGTTAGAGCCAACTAAGGAGAGTCAGACTCAGAAGAGCGACAAAGTGATCGCCACTACTCGCCCATTTGACGGCGAGTGCTTTAGAATGACTTCCAGCCCGTGTCGTGGAAATAAAGAATCATCGTGGGAGAACGACTACAAAAAAAAAAAAACAAGGAGGAAAAGGGGACCGTGATAACGCAGCGCGCCGTAGCCCAACGTCGACGGCGACGTCAACATCAACGGGAGCAGCCGAGTCAGCAGATACCACCTTGTTGTTGTTTTTTTTGTTGCATTATTTTTTTTGGTGTTAAGAATTAAGATTTCCTAGTTTTCTCAGATTGTAGTTTGTAAGTAATTTAGCTTAATGTTTTTTTTGATAATTTAGAAATTTCCGTTTAGTTGTCAAATTTATTTTTTGGAGTGCTTTAGCATATGATTTTACCTTTTACTGAAATTCTCCTGTTTTCCTTTTCCGCAAACTTGTTTTTTTATTCTTTTACCCGCACTCGTATATACAATTTTTCTGAGTTAAAGTACATACTTTGGGTTACACAGTTTGAATGGTGTGATATCCATTGTGTTTAAGTTAGTTTTTTTTTATTTTAAAAGTTGCGGCTATTTTCTTTTATTTATTTTTTTTTCTCGGTTTGGCCAGCATTCATCATTAATATTCTAGCACCGCGCGTATAAATTTTCTTTGCATTCTTTCTTTTCACTTTTCACTTTTTATTTCGCTTTTCGATTTATTATTTCTTTTTTGCCGGTAATAATGATCCACTCGACGCCCGCAAACGCGAGTGAATGATCACAGGATCAATTGCCAAAACTCATTGAAACTCAGCTTAGGCAATGTATGTAAATATGTATGTATGAATAGGTACATGTCAAACTCTTTCCCACAGGCTCTCTACAGCATGCTGGTACCAACATCGCTGGAGTGACCAGGTGAGTGGTTTTCTTCTTTGGTTTTATATTATCATATACATAACTCTAAAAAAATTGTTTACATTACCGCGCCTATGTATACTTGTACATATGGTCCCATACATGTCTAAATACACACAAGTAGTCTGGCAGAATTAATGAATGTATTTCCAAATTGCTACTAAATTTTATATTTTTTTTGCGACGCCTTGAATCAAACATACATATATGAGTCTGGATTGAATTGATATATACTTACATATATGCATGGCTAAGCACACGATTTTGCTCTTTTTTTTTATTTTTTTGGTAACTTACGATTTTTTTGTTAATTCATTTCCCTCGAGTCTTATATAAGTTTAGTGGATGCATTTTAGTGTAAGTCTTGGGATTTCGTAGTAAGCATTGAAATGGATTGTATCTAATCAGAGTAATAAAGGAATATTTGTAATGCTTAGTATGAACTCCAGTGGTTGAAACGGATATGGTTGATAGGATGGAGGGTTAAGTTTTGAATCTTTGGTGTGTGGTGTTGTACTTGTGCAACAGAGTGGACATGGGAGTGGAGACGGGGTGACGCAACTGACTTCTACTTGACGGACGGTAACGTACGGACATAGGTCAGGCATAGGGGGCATCACTAAGTATTGGGAGTCAGACTGGTGCTCAAGGTTTCGTGAAATTTGTTCACTGAAGTGGGTGGGAGACTCCACCTGACTGGACCGGCCTTCTTCTCCTTTTTTGTCTCTCTCTATTTCTTCTCTTCTTTCGCATTTCATTTCAGTCCCAGGCATGAGTATAATTAAACTTTTGTTAGTGTAGTTGGTAGTTAGGCAAGTGCATATGACCCCCCCCTCCCCCCCCCACCGACGTGCTAGGCCAGGGCGCGCTAGCTTGCCTACATGCCACTTCGCCCTACAGTAAACACACGGTTACACAACAGGTACAACAACAAAGCTTGTCAAGTGCAAACACAGCAGCACCACCGGCCAAGTGCACGGCCGCTTTCGCATGTTATGGTTGCGGGGCACCGGGCGTATATCGATCTAATTGCGGAAAATGTAGTGACCGAAACAAAGAGAGTCCACAATATCTCTCTTTCAATAACGTCTCAACCACTGTGGTTGGTAGGCAGATTCCGTGCGTTCATATTGAGATGTTCGGATTAAAGGGAGAAGGTCTCTTTGATACGGGCGCAAAAACAAGTATTGCGAGCGCAAACTTAAAAAAGATTCTGACTAGGAAAGGGTGTGTATTCCAGGACGTCAAAGCTGATGTCACCTTAGCAGACGGCAACACCACAACGCAAAAGGTATTGGCAACCATTTGCGATATTAAAATTGGTAATCGCCAAAGAAAGATTCGCCTAATCTCGTTACCAAATGCCACCAAGAATCGCACGCTTATTGGTGCCGACTTTATGGAGCAAGCGGGTATAGTAATAAATATGGCGCAATGATTTTNGCCACCAAGAATCGCACGCTTATTGGTGCCGACTTTATGGAGCAAGCGGGTATAGTAATAAATATGGCGCAAAGATTTTGGCATTTCGAAGATGAACCAAAAGTCAAGTACGATTTTACCAAACCCAGCGAATGTAACAATCAGCTCTTTGTCTTGGATATAGCTGGAGAGTATATTAATGCTTGTAAGACTGCCGGCGTCCGCACACCAGATTTCATTCGAAAATCAAAATTTGTCGAATTTGTAGAAAACGGCTATCGAATGAGTCAAGCACCACGTACGCCAGAAATTGGTGCAGTTGAGAAACAAAAAGACGACCAAACAAATGATTACTCACCACATTCAATCCAGAAGATCTTCGGGGACTCAATTCCCGTTGGAGATAGCACCCCAGAAAATCATTCGCGGTTATTTGCTCCACCCATGAAAGTCCGAAGGGACTCNAGGAACTCAATTCCCGTTGGAGAAAATCATTCGCGGCTATTTGCTCCACCCATGAAAGTCCGAAGGGACTCAGACTATGACTTGCCTCTCCTCTCGATAGAGCTGACAATGCCACCGGAAACCGACGCTATCGAGTTGTCTGAATGCCAGGCGTCGGAATTAGATTCTTTGCTATCAGAGTATGCGGACTTATTTGCAGAACCAACTGCAGTAACGCCATTCGCTATGCATAGAATNCCGGTTATTGGCAGATTGGTATGGAAGAAGAAGACCAAGACAAGACTGCGTTTGTCACCCCGTTTGGCATGTACAAGTTTACGCGTATGCCGTTTGGTTTGCGAAATGCACCTGCGACATTTCAGCGCCTCATTGACCGTTTAAAATTATCTCTGCCTGGTATAACACTGGTCGCTTACTTAGACGACATCATAGCCTGTTCGCAAAACTTCAAGGATCACTTGGAAGACTTGAGGAAAATTTTTGATCGTCTCCGATACTTCAACCTCAAAAACCAATAAGG